GATGACAAAAAGCACATCTTTCATCTAAGTTAAAAATACTTCAGTGCCTATATATGTACATATTTAAAATACAAGGTGCTTAAGTGTAAGTTAATAGCTGAATAAAACCTTCACAAAGTTGATTATTATAGGTGAACAGGGCTTTTAAACTTATCACTTCCATATTTAAGAAAATATCATCTTAGTTCTGATTCATCACACACTTTCGATCATGCTGCAGTGCTTGTATGTCACTTTAAACAGCAATAATCACTAAACCATTACCAAGTGACACACACAACTCACTTTTTATTCCTTCTTTGGCATTACAGCACATGAAATATGAGCACTAATTGGAGCCAGAAAGGCAGCATGCTATAGACATCTACTGTTTAGTTTTGACTTGCAAGTACTCTGCTGTTGCAACAGCAAATTCAGAATGATACCAGCTAGGCCAAACTACAGAAGCTGACACTTCTAAGGCTATGGTCTGTTGGAAGAAAATAAAACTGAGTTAATTTTATATGAAAATCGAAACAGCTTTAGATACTGTTAACAGATGACATGCCAGATAGTTTCTGTGTTAGACTGAAAATCCTATATGCTTCCTTGATCCTCCTCCCACCCTTCCCTCTACAAGCATATGGCATAGATTATTTTTCTGTTCAATTTATTGCAGAAGTTTATCAAAGTTAATAGTAAATGCAGCAGATCTAAGTTAGACATCTGGAGACTACAGAAGTTGTGTCCTAGCATCCTTAAGCTGGTGATACTTTACCACAGTCCTGATCTCTGCTGCTACAGAGTAGCCTGGCCAGAGCTCCAGACCCATGCAACCTTCCTGAGGCAGCAACACCTAGCATTCCACGGCAGGTGAGCTTCGTGTGATTTAGCACCCGTGGCAGAAGTGCTGCGGGCTCACTCACATTTGATGTCTGCATACATGTGGCTGACGGTGAAGCGGTCCTTGCCCTCGGGCGCCCAGGCAATGCGCTCAGCCATCAGGTACAGGGCCCCATCCTGCTTCTTCTGACGCACCTTCTTCACTATCAGCAACACTTCTTCAGATGAAGTGGCCATTGTGGCTACAATGAGCTGTTAAAAACATAGAGTTGAGCTGATTAGCTGTGCTGTAACTCTTTCACTACTCCTATCTATATTAAAGTATTGTGGCCCACGTTTACTTGTTCATGCCTATATCATTTTGGGAGTATTTCAGATAAATGTGCTCCCCTCTCTCAGTACAATCAGCAAATTTATTTAAACAAAATACTCCTACCTACCTAAAAAATTAATCTCATGATATTGCTGATACTGCTTTTGCTCCACTAAAAGACCCACATATCTTACATTTAAACTGGTAACTAAATTTTCCTTTTACTGGTTTGTCTAGTTCAGAAGAATACTGAAGCTAAGCAATGACAAATTCCAAATCTTCCCTGGCACTGGCAGCAATTCCCTTCTTCAAGTGGGAATGGCAGATGCTAAGTCATTTCAGAAAAGAGGAGGATACAAGGTATGTGAAAAATCATGGATTTTCAGTTCATTGTGCTAAAGATAAGGTGGCCCAGTAAGACTCAGGTGTTCTTATTGTGGTGGGTTTTGCCCAAGGCTTGAACAATGTTTTGTACACTTGACTGCAGCTGGCCAGTCCCTCTCCTCCAAAGTCTGAGGAACTAATGTTACATGTACTACAGCACAATGATAATTCTGTCAGCAGTCTCAAACCAACAAGACTTTGGATACTTGCTGCATTGTTCTCCCCAGCAGTAACTATCATGCCTCTCTCCAGGTTCACCCTACAGCCGTAAATTTTTCAAGACATAAAGGATATGGTGAGTATTGCACTCTGTCAAACTTACTGTTGGTACACTTATCAAAAATGTACATCTTTACTGAAAATTCTTAGCATGTCCAGTTGCTGTATTTTGTGTATCACAAACTTTACTACTGATATGCAAAATAATGTTTTTCCAATGCTAACGTGGATGTTGCATGTGCTTCAGAATGCTTGTAATATTTGCTGGGATGCATGCCGAAGTTCAGATTGTAACCTGTATCTGCTATCGCACTACTAGTAGGTATCAAAAAATGGTAGTTCTAAGCATTTAAATTCACATACTTCTTTTTTTTTCTTAAAAAAACCTAACAAAATAACAAAACACCAACCAGCAGCAAGATAAGACATTTTATTCTGACAATTTGGACAGTAGCACAGCATTCTCTTCAGAAGTCTTACAAGCTCCTGTGCAATGAGTTAAGTAACACACTAGATGGAAAGATGAAATGGCAAAAGGGCTCTGCACTTACACTGTGCTCCTTCACCATTCCAGCCATCCAAGGCTTTGCTAAAGAGTTCAGTCATGCTGAGCTGAATGTGGGGTTTCACATCAGCACCACTGCAGCAGTCACTAGAACACGCTGTGCCACATTCAGAGCATCCTTGGTAATACTTCTTCCTCAAAGAAAACTGCATGGCATGATTTCAGGACTGTTCCCTAGCATAATCCATTACAGTCTCCCAGCAGCATTATTCCCATTCAGTGCTATTCACACAACCATTTTATGTAGTTTCCTGTTGCGGGTCTGCAGTCTCACAGGCACCTTATCCTTACTGGAAAAAGGCAGCTGGCCACAGACTCTCAGAAACTGGAAACCTCACCATGCAAGACTAGGGATTTGATATTTTTCTCCCGTTGTTACTTTATAGTCCTTTAAGGTCATTATTATCCAATGCAATGGAGGCAAAGCCACAGAACACAAAGGAATTCAACCTGTACAGAACAGCAAGATTAAAAGGAAAGCATTTCCACAGTCAGGCTCATTCTGATGCCAGCTGCTCTGCTTTTCTGCCACACCATTTCACCTACCTACACCCAGTCTTTCAACTACAGAAGCAAAGAATCAGCAGCTACCAACTTCTCCTTTAGATCCCTTCTAGTACCCTGCAGTGAGAGCACAATTATCCCGCAAGTGGCTCATTCCACCTTCTGGGAGGGTGAGCACATGGCTCATGCTGTTCTTTCTGTCACTGCTGTACTTCCTTTTTCCTGCAGTAATTTACAGTGGCAGTGGGATGATACAACTCACAAGCACAGTAAGCATTACCCAAAATGGAGAAAACCCTGAGCTGTCTTTTGAACAGTACCTCAGAAAGAATAAAAAAACCTATTAATAATAGGGATTTAGGAAGGTTACAGTCTGTCACTAATGGAAACAAAATGGCTTCGTGTTACAAGAAGTACGGGAAAAATTCTAAAATAGGAATCTTACTTCAAGATTTCATTCCCTGTCTCCTACAGGGAAGGCTACATCCTTGCTAAGCAAGGCACACACAGCACACAGCTCAGCTTTTTTTTTTTTTTTTTTGGGCATGTAAGACTTACTATGCAGCAGAGAGCCATCAATGATGTACTTGTGCCTGCCCAAATCGCATAACCTCTACATTTAACATCTGAATCTCCCAGGAATCAGTACTATGGATGATGACACTGCTGCTGTGCAGGGCAAGAACTGCCACATGCACACAGAGAAATGCTGCTATTTTGTGGCTTTAAGTGATAATTTTAACCTGCTACAGCATTAGTGTTCTTCAGCGGCTGGTTCAAGTATCTTGCAGAATAGGAAGGTCAGACAATTGGTTTTAAAATCCCTAGCAACAGAGCTTGATCAACAGTTTTAAAAGCACTTGGATCAACCTGAAGCCCTAACAATGAGGTACAACTTGTCATCAGGCCTGTCTTGGGGATGTCAATTTCGGCTGCAGTTTACAATAGGCAAGGTCTATCAGCCTGCTTCAGTGTTGGCATAGTCCAAAAGAATTGCTCTGTGTGCTTACCCACCTACAAGCCCTCCCCTCCCAGCTCTGCGGGAGCAAACAGCTTCTGGAAATATCATCAAATTCCAACAGCTATCTTTCCTCCATTGTAGGGAATCTTCCTAACCAGTCTTATCTTAAGATACAGTACCTCTCATTTCTGTTTTTTACAACACCTGTTCTGAACATTCTCCATTACCAGCACTTCACTCCAGTCTCTTTCCATATGGTTATGTCGAACTCTGAGCAGAAATAAAGGAAATGTTTGCAGGCTTTAATATTCCTGACTTGGCCAGGGTGGGCACGGGCTGGCAGGCAAGCTCTGACAGATCAATGCAGGCCTTTCTGCTGCTGGGCTTCCGCTCCCCGCAGGCAACAGCAGAATCATGGAATATCTGTGCCAATGGCCCAGTCTGACCCGCAGCGGCACAGGGACGCTGCCAGCTCCGGGAGCGGGCCGAGCAGCGCCCCGCGGGGTGGCAGCGATCTGTCAGCGGGATGGAGAAGCGGCAGCAGTGCCGCTCGTCCCGGGCACGTCGCGGGGGATGCACGGTCCTGCGGGGCCAGCCCGGCCTTCCCCCGATCCGCATCACCCACGCTCCGGGAGGGATGTCACCCTGCCACGAGACGGGCCCGAGGACACCCGCACGGTCCCGGCGGGGAAGGCGCTGCCCCGGCACCTCTTTGTCTGCCGCCCGCGCCGGGGCGAAGCCCGGTGCCCCCGGCAGCGGTGCCGCCGGCGCAGCGCTGCCGTCTCCCCGCCACCCCCCGGGGAGCGCAGATCGGCGGTGCCGCCGCCCCCTTCGTCCCTTCCCTCACCGCAGCTCCGGCCCGGCCACCGTCACACGCCCGCCGGGCAGGAAGGAAGCGCGGAAGGCCAAAGGCCGCCGCGGCACCAACGCGACGCGGTCCCGCCGCCCCCGGGGACGGATCGTCGGGGCAGCGCGGCCGTGAGGCGGATCGGGCCCCGCGGCCTGCCCCGCGCCGCCGTTCCCCCGCGCCCCGCGCCGGCGGTTCTTACCGTGCGGGCTGCGCCGGGAGCTGCTCCGAGTGCGGGCGGCGCTACGGGGGTCGGGCCGCGGCCGCCGCCGGGGCCATGGGGCGGGCGGGGCGGGCACGTGACCGGAACGGGCCGCGGGGCGCCGGGGGTGGGGCCCGCACCACGTGACAGGGGAGCGGCTCCGAAGCCGCGCGTCCCCGACGGTCACGTGGCGCCCGCGCCCCTCCCGGCCCCCGCCCCGGTCACGTGGCGGCCGCTCCCCCGTCGCCATGACGGCGGCGGGCGGAGGGGGCAGTTACGCGGCAGTAAAACGGTACCGCCGCCGCCCCCCCGCCCCCATCCCCGCCGCGCCCGGCCCGGCCCGTTTCCCGCCGTCACCCGTCCGCGCGGGCCGCGCTCGTCGCCCGCCATGGGCCCAGGCGGCCCGTCCTGCTCCGCTCCCGGGTCGGCGGCGCCGCCTCGCTGCGGGGGAGGGGCCTCCCCTCGGCCCCGGCCCGCGCGCCGAGAGGGAGGGGGCGCCGCGCGCGTCACGGCGTCACGTGGCCGGCGGGCGGGTGCGCGCGCGTGACGCCGCTTCCTCCTCCTCCCCCTCCTCCTCCTCCCGCGCGGGCGGCGCGTGATGCGGAGCGGAGCGGGCGCGCGCTCCCGCCCCGCCCTCCCGCGGGTCACGTGGGCGCGCTGTTTGGAGGCGGCGGCGTGAGCGGCACCGGAGAGCGCCGAGCGGCGTGAGGGAGCGGCGCCGGGTACCGGGAGCGGCACCGGAGAGTGCCGAGCGGCGTGAGGGAGCGGCGCCGGGAGGGAGTGGCGGCGGGAGAGCGCGGAGCGGCACCGGGAGAGCGCGGAGCGCGGTGAGGCGGCGGTGGCGGCGGCGGGGAGAAGGAGCGAGCGGTGCTTCCTTGCCCCGCCGGGGCTCGGCTCTCGTCCCCTCCCCGAGGTTTCCGAAGGGGCTACCGGGTACCGGGAGCGGCACCGGGAGGGAGTGGCGGCGGGAGAGCGCGGAGCGGCACCGGGAGAGCGCGGAGCGCGGTGAGGCGGCGGTGGCGGCGGCGGGGAGAAGGAGCGAGCGGTGCTTCCTTGCCCCGCCGGGGCTCGGCTCTCGTCCCCTCCCCGAGGTTTCCGAAGGGGCTTGCGGGGTTCCTCTGTCCTTTGCGATCCTTCGCCGTACGCCGGGTACGGGAGACAAATGCCGCGGTGTCGCGGCTCAGGGCCACACAGGCGGGATGTGGCAGAGAGCGGGCAGGGCTGAAGTGGCCATTAACGTTTGTAAGACGTTTTGAGAATTTAGAAGAAATAACTTTTAGTTTCGTTGGCTAAATGTGCCTCTTCCCTTTTCCTAGTGCCTGGTGAGAGTGAGCGCTCGCTTTCCTTTAGAGGAAATGTAAATTTCCCCCATGACGGCTTTTCTGGGAGGGAGTTCCTTAATTTATGGGACCGCTAATAATACTCAAGGTTACTTAGCAATTCCGGGACTTGCCTGTGCAGTGCAACAGGTTTGGCGTTTTGTTAAGCAATGTACAGGTTTAAACTCAATAAGAAGTTATTTTAAAGTATGTGCTGCTTAGGAAAAACATGAAGTTGTGATTTTAGTGGTTATTTAATTCCTAGTTTTCATTCTGTGTTATCTCTTGAATGCGGGAAAAGACGAGAGGATAGCTTATAATTGTATCAAAATGCACAAATGCAGCTAATTCTAAATTTAGTATAACTTGAGAATAGCACTCCTTAAATTTACTTTTGGGGGAGAATATGATGTAGTTATAAAATGCCAGTGCTAAATGTTTTCCTTGAGAAAGTTAGTTTCAAATCAAGGGTGCATGCTATGGGGAAAAGTAAATTTTTCCAGAAAACAGGTTGTTTTCTGTAGGTACACGTTAACTTGTTTCACAGATACATGTAAATATAACTACAGTTTAAATATTTCCAGGTGGGTTATCTGATAGGTTAAGTTTTCAGAAACGAACTTGAACAAAAACTTCTCATAAATGGAGTAGGAGTCTTATTTTCCAGCCTTTAGGCCTCTTTTTGGTGAGCTGAAACCTGATGGCTTTTGAGTAGGAAAACACTTGGTGTTTCTTTAAGCACAGAACACCAGCTCAAATGCTAAAAAGTGAACTAATTGAGAACTTTATTTTTGGCAGATACAGCTAAAAGCTGAAGCCATAACGCACCCATGAGTGAGCAGCACTAGTCGTGTGCGTCCATGGCCTCTGTGCCAGTAATTCCAGACTCTTACAACCATGTCTTGGCAGAGCTGGAGTGTTTGGATCCGTTGCTTTCTGCACTCAGGTTGGATTCCAGTCGTCTCAAGGTGAGTTTGTGGTGTATGGCTTTTTTTATTTTAATTTTTTTTTTTTTAAATTGAAGTAATGGCCTCATTTGGCTAATTATTTGATCAAGCCATAGGATTAATCTAACTCTTTTTGGGGTGTGTGCATGCTGTCTTAGTGGGGGGAGTACTTTGGGAAGAAAGAGTGAAGATAATGGGCCCTGTTCCTCTATGTGTGTTTCCTTAGTGCAGCTGTGGGTACGTGACACAGCCTGACATGGCTTCACTTGTTTGCTCCAATTGCAAAGTGCTGTTTAATAATCCTCACTGCCAGTGGTTCAGGAGTGATATACACAGCTGGAAAATAATGAAACCTTTACGCCTTCACTGTTTGCTCCAATTGCAAAGTGCTGCCAGTGGTTCAGGAGTGATACACACAGCTGGAAAATAATGAAACCTTTAAAAAACCCACCATAATAATGCAGGAAAAAGATGCTGTGATCAGAACTTACCAGGTTTTGCATTGTGATTTTTATTCCTTCAGTGCACGTGTATAGATGTATCAAAGAGATGGCTGGCTCTAGGCAGCTCAGGAGGAGGACTGAACCTTATCCAGAAGGATGGTTGGAAGCAAAGGCTCTTTCTCACTCACAAGGTAAGGATAAAAATTTTAAATGAAAATTTCCAAAAATGGGGCCTGGAAAGAAACATTATTTCAAGTTCATGTATTTTAAGAGTCAATAGGTGCCTTCAGCTTACTGGGTTGTCCAAAGAAGGTGAAGTTTTGCACTGCTGTGTTTAAAATAGGTTGTGGTTCTGGAGGGTATCCCCAGAGTATGTGGCATATTAGAATTCATGAGGTGTGAAAAATATTACTTCAGAGTGTCAGACGTTTGTTTTTCAAATTCTTACTTTTTAACAGCAACAACAAAGTCACCTGAATATGTAAGGATTGGAAGAAAATTTTGAATATGAAACCAGAGCAACTCACAAGTGGATAACTCCAAGTGTGTGAGTGTTCAAGCTGTGACATAACTGGATAAGTGAAGAAAAGTTAGGCTGACTTACTGTTGCTGGAAGAGATTGTGAAACAAGGATTGTTACTTGTACAGCCAGGTGCTATTTCCTAGGAGTCACTGCTGCTTCCAGCGTAGCATGGATGCAGCCAGTTTTTTAAGGCTGGGAGCACCTCACTTAATTCTGTCAAAACAGCTTCCAAAGGTGTGAGGACAGAAGAGTGATTTCTGTGCTTCCCAAATCAGAGAATGCACTGCAGTCCTTGCTCTTGATGTTGTGTTGTTGTCAGCTGCATCTTGGAGTAAACTCAGTGTTTGCAAAGAAAACCCAGGCAAACAGCAAAAACCAACCACATCACAGGTGGTAGCATCTGTTGACATGAATCTGGTTTATATGTTGAAGATGGAGGCTGCACAGTGGAGGTGGCAGTACAGGAACAAGTCTCACCTGATCTTACTCCTGTGCTTGCTTTCAGGAAGGTGCCATTTCCCGGGTGGCCTGTTGTTTGCATGATGAAGACTATGTTGCTGTTGCCACCAGGTGAGTGATCTACTCACATACCTGAGCACTGGATTAATATTTTTAAGAAGCTTCAAGTTTTGGATGTGGACAGCTACTGAGAACTCAGAGTTAACTTACCAGGTTAACTGGAAGAGGGCACTACAGGATAACTCTCTGTACAGACAGTTTGCTTAACTTTTTTTCTAGAATAATCATTTTAGGTTAAGTGTTATTTCTGTAACAGAATATCTATGGCAGAGCTCATGCATGTGAAATTATGATGATAAATGTCTTTCTGAGACCTTTCAGCATGAAAAGAAGCATTTTCATTAACATGGTAGTGTGAGATTGATAGTTAATTCCACTTATATTTATTAAAATCCATTTAAATGGTTTTCCACATCCTCACTGGCAAGTGTAATAACTGTGAGAGTAGCCTTACAAAACTGCTTATACATTGTAGTGGAACGAAGGACACTTATTCTTCTCTGGAATTAAGTGTGACACTTGTTGAAAGCATGCAGCCTCAAACAGAACCAGCTCTGAGGTGTGCTGCTTTGCTTGGGTCTCCTCTTTCTTGGGAAAATGCATCCTTATTAACTGATAAAACTTTAGAAGACTTACTTTCAACCTGTATTCTCTTTTTAACTTGTAGCCAAGGCCTTGTAGTAGTCTGGGAGCTGAATCAGGAACGTCGTGGGAAGCCAGAACGGATTTATGTTTCATCTGAGCATAAGGGCAGGAAAGTCACAGCTCTGTGCTGGGATACAGCTGCCCTTCGAGTTTTTGTAGGAGATCATGTGGGAAAAGTATCAGCCATCAAGATTAACACATCTAAACAAGGGAAGGTAAAGTGTTGCATACTTTGAGCTTAATTCACAGGGGGTGATGTGTGGAATCTCTTTTGTTTATTTTGGCAAAGTGGAACAGAGCAGGACTTGCTAGCTAATGAAGTTCTGGTAGCTTTAACTATTGGGATGAAGAACCAGTCTCTTGAGACAACCATAGAAATCCTGACCCATGAACTCACCCCATCCTTATTCTATTTCTGTATCTATTTCAGTAATGCAATTTGAAATTGCTTTCAAATATTCAGAATTAAAAACTGGTTAATCTCCACTTCTTGGAATTTACAAGTATCAAAGTTAAGGGTCTTGGTGTTTCTGAGCTTATTATGTTCCTTAGACTCCAGCTACAGGTTCAACTGTTTGTTTTAGCCTCAATTCAGCTGTTTGTCAGTGAAAGAGCAGTCCCTGGTCAGAGAAAGAACAGTCCCAGCAGACTGATTTTGCTTGGCTTTGTCTGGATGCTCTCATTCTTAAATGTCTGGATTGGATAAAATAAATGGTAGATGGTCATGGAGCCTACATGCTTTATATTTTGTGCAGAGGACACACCTGTTAGTGACAGTAGCCTGATTTCTAGCCCTTGAGTGTTCTTTAGCTTTTACTTCTACTGGGGTCCTTTCTTTTTAATCACTATAAAGGAGCAGAACCTGGAAATAGTTGTGTTCGTCCAGGTGCTTTCTAGCCCTCATGGAAGATTTTGACAGAAAATTGACTTATAAGTAGCAAGACCATTATTACATTTAAATATAGGGGGAAAAGTCAGCTGTGGGAAGAGAGGGAGGAGAAAGGGGCAGGGCCTGTGGAATCTGTGTCTGTTCATGCCTGTTAAAGGAACAGGACTTTTGGATTTCTCAGATAATGCACTTTGTAATATCCCTAAGATGGGAAAGCAACTCTAAGCCTGGCAAAAATGGTGACTGTCTGACAGCAAATTCGAATGCAGTTCCCAGTAGTTTCCTTATCCATAAATCTATCTAAGGCTATTCATCCACCCATGCAAACTGAGACACTGGTAGGATAGATAGTATGTGGATAATTTGTGGCAGGGTAACAGAGAAGGTGAGTTTGTGAACAATCTAATTCCAGCAGAAGCTGTTTTTCGTATCAATTAATCCCTCTGGTCTGTTTCCATAAAACTGCTAGCTCAATGTATCTGTGGGGAGAATTGGAAAAAAGCACAAATCTTAGAATAGCAGGAATGAAACCCTCTCTTAATGTTTCAGAAAAAAACCTTTTATAAAGAAGTATCAGGATGCTACAGGGATATGACTTTTTTTTTTTTTCTTTAGGCTTCAGCAGTGGTTTTGGGAAAAAGAGGATTTAGACTCCTCCTGTGCTTCTGAGCATTGTAGCCTTGCTTTGTTGCTTTGTAAAGACAGAGAAGAAAGGCACTGCTCTGTCTTATGCTGTGTATTCATCACATACATGAATCTTTTCTGAATTTTGATATTTTAACATAATGAAACAGTTTTACTTTGAACTGAAGACCACCAGTGTGTTTTTCTCTTTTTTTTTTTCTTTTTTTTATTGTAGGCTGCTGCTACTTTTGTGATGTTTCCTGTCCAGATTATAACCACTGTAGATTCTCGGGTGGTTCAGCTTGATTATTTGGATGGAAGACTGCTCATATCTTCACTTACCCGCACTTATTTATGTGATACAGAGAGGCAAGTTCTATTTTATTTCTGAAATACTGGACTTCAGAGTCACACGCACTTTCTGAAATGACATCAATGTCTCTTTAACTAGCCCATGCTCCCTCAGTCTGTTTCTGAAGATGTTGGGAGGGGTAGTGTCAAATGTTTTACTGAAATCAAGATAAACATCTGCTGCTCTCCCCTCAACTACCCAGCCAGTCATTCTGTTGTAGAGGGCTGTTAACATGATTTCCCTTCCATAAATTGATGCTGACTATTCATAATCACTGTCTTATTTTTCATGTGATTTGAAATGATTTCTGGGAATGTTCCCACCTTCCCATCACTAGGTTGAACAACTGGTTCTGCTGGAAAAAAACCCCTTTGATCTGAGCATTCATTTCAACTAATGAATATTTCTGTACCCTGTCTTGTATAAACTTTGGGCAGGCTTTGTAATATTCGTTACAGATTTTTTAAGCACAAAAACCAATTCAGCAGCTGGGATTAAGTATTTTTTATTGTTCAAGAAAACCATAAAATTAATTAGGGCTTTTACTAATGCTGGCTTACTTAACAAGTATATTTTTTTTCCTCTCTAGAGAGAAGTTCTGGAAGATTGGTAATAAAGAGAGAGATGGAGAATTTGGAGCATGTTTCTTCCCTGTTGGAAAAAACAGTGGGAATCAGCAGCCATTAATATACTGTGCTCGACCTGGCTCGAGGATGTGGGAGGTGAACTTTGATGGGGAAGTGCAAAGCACACATCAGTTCAAGCAGCTGCTCTCGTCACCACCTCTTCCTGTTGTTACTCTCAGGTAGAAATATGAGTGTTATGACTGTTAAGCTTGTTTGGGATGTCCTTAAGGCTGAAAAGACTAAATCAACTCCTTCAGTCAAATGTTAATCCTAGTTGTCATCTTAATACAGTCTCCTCTAAGAGGTGTAGCCAGTAATCAAAAATGGCAAAATCTTGATTCTGCAGCTATGTCTGTGAGCACCATGAATGCTGCTGTCATGAGACTATATTTATTTAAGCCAGCCATGTATTTACAGCATTAAGAATCTTAGAAAGTAATGTTATTGTAGTTATGTAGCTTGTTACTTGATAATAATTTTATTTTGCAGGCAGGATCCTCATTATACTGGTTCCAGCTGCTCACCACAATCTTTATCTTTCCCCAAGCTGCTTTATTTGACGTGAGTATTGACAGCATAGCTTCCTGTTGATAAAGTAGGCTTAAAAAATTAAATGTTCTCCCAACTTATATTAGCAACTTCAGGTTTTTGCATAAGAATTTCCCAAGTATCATGCTAAACCTGTCTCACATCTCACTTGCTATGCTTAAGCCAATGTGATCCCTGCATATTTTATAATTTTTAAAAAATTTTACCTCTTTTACCACAATTGACTGTTGCTTCATTAACATGTGCTATAATTGCAGTGAGCACTGTGTGGTGACCTGGACAGAAAGAGGCATTTATATTTTTCTTCCCCAAAGCCTTCAAGTGTTACTCTGGAGTGAAGTTAAAGGTAAACTCAAGATTCTTATATGTTGCTTTGTAACATTGTCTGTTACACTGGACATTCCTGAAGTCCTTGCCTAACATGGGAGCTATTCAAGCTCAATTTCTGCAGCTGGATTGCAGAATATTTATAAAAAACTTGTTATCTGAATATTAACCATCTCCGTGCCTCTTCCAGCCAGGCCCTCCTCCCATAGATCTGAAAACGTGCTTCTGCAGAAACAAAACATGGTGTAGAGTGACTCATAAAATACAGTAGTTAAAATACAGGTGATTAACCTGCAGTGTCCTTACTCAGGCTCATTGTCAGTGTCCTATGAAGGATAATCTGACTGCTGAAAATGTAAAACCTGGGGTTTTTTTCCCCTAAAACCCGTCTAAATTGCATACAGGGAATACATTTATTTGGCAAATGAGTGAAGCCTCATAAACAGTGGTGTGTTCGGTTATAAGCAGAGTCCTACATTCTGGTGTTAAGTTTGCAGTACCTTTGTTGTGGAGTGTTTGCATACAGCATATGTGTTGTATTTGAAAATGTCTGGAACACCAAGGTTGTTTTTTTACCAGTGAATATTTTCCTTCTGTTTCAAAGAAGGAAAATATTCATTTTTTGTAATTTAGTGTATTTTTTTAATGTTTTCTAGAAATGCAACTCTGGAAAGTTTTGACACTGTTTTATGGTGATTAGATGCTAGGTCAGCACTCCACAGTGTTTCTTTTCCCCATGCCTCTTGTGCTTTTCACTCATTTGCAGTCAGGTGGGAATATGCTTTCACCTTCTTTCAGGGACAGAAAGGCATGTTGATTAGTGACTTCAGTCCTTCAGGTATTGCTCCGTGTGTGGTTTTGCAGATATTCAAGATATTGCAGTTCACAAGAGCGAGTTGTTCTGCCTGCATACAAATGGCAAAGTTGTGCACCTCTCCCTTCTGCTGGTTGACCGCTGCGTAGAGCGTCTGATGAGAAGAGGATTCTGGACCCTCGCTGCCAGGGTCTCTTGTCTCTTCCAGAATTCAATTGTTTCTTGCAGAGTAAGTAAATACTTCTTCATAAATGTGCTATACAACTTCACTGTCTTTCCTGTCCCCCCTTCCACTAAGTTTCATGGTTACTGAGATTCATTTTGTTGGAGTTTTTAAAGTTATTTAAACATTATACTTTAAGGATGAAAATCATCTTGCATATATGATATCTTTTGTTTTCACATGTGAATTAGAAATAATGTTTCTGTTTCACTGGGTGCTTTTAGGCAAGAAAAAATTTGCCTCTAGACAAGCTGAAGCACTTGAAGTCTCAGCTGGATGCTTCAACCCAGCAAGACCTCATTGTGCAACTGGAAGAACTGATTGCAAAGTTGGAACCTTTAGATTCTGCATGCAGCAGTAGAAGGAGCAGTATTTCCTCTCATGTATGTGTATTGGTAGTGTAAAAAATGTTATCTACAGGTTTTATCTTTATGGCTTGAAGTCACCTAGTTGTTCACTTGGAAGATGAGGCTTTCATTTCTACCCTGTCTACTACAGCTCATAATGCTGCATTCTAAAACTAGGTGGGGTGAAGAGGTGTGAATCACCACTACTTGCATTCTGTAAGCTCAGACCTCTGCCTCTTTCCCATATTATTTTATGGCTAATGGCTGAGATGTGGACAGAGATTGATATAAAGATGGCTTTTTCTGTTTAATGTTTTAATGTGCTTTGGTAAAGACAGTCTTGGTTATAACTCTAGTTTTATATGATGAAAGGAATGTCTGAGTGCTCAGAGATATCTTAGCCCTATTTAGAAAATTGTTGCACTTTAAGAACCTTAAGGAGAAAGCTCTAAAAAAACAAAGCAGATTTCTAATAAATATACAGCTGCTTTTCAAGAAAGGGGAAATATTTCATAGTTCATACAATATCAGCTCCTGCTTTCACTTTAACAGTGTTTAAAAGGAAAGTTTAAAAAGCTAAGTAATGTAAATACCATATTGATGAGGTAGACAAGTTTTTCTTCATTAGCCACTGTAAAAGTAAACCATGTAGACTGACCATGAGCAAAAAAACGTGTATTGGTCCTGAAACAAAATAGTTTTGGGGAGGGGCGGGGTCTGTAATTGTGCTAGCTGGATATGGCTGACCAGATTGGAAGACAGATTATTGGGTATGCAGCTAGAGAGGGGTCATGTGAGAGTCTTGACTGCAAGACTAAAGGTGAGGTGGGTTTTGCCTTGCACTGGGTACACCAGTTGTTCCATAGGCTGCTTTCCTAAAAGCAATTGCAGCATGCACATCTTTTTAAAATAACTGAACTGCACACTTGCTGGCATCTGTGTCCTTTTCCATTCTGGATATGGTAGAAGTACTCTGTTAAATAGGAGTTCTCCAGGCAGTGAATTATGAAATGCTCTGAGGTTATTTGTGTGGGTACAGTTGGTTGAGTTCATTGCAGAATGTTGAACAAGGATGAGCAACTCACATGATGTCTAACTCCCCTCCTTGGTCTGACAGGAAAGCTTCAGTGTCTTAGACTCTGGAATCTACCGTGTTATCAGTCGAAGGGGCAGTCAGTCAGATGAAGACTCATGTTCCCTCCACAGTCAAACATTCTCAGAAGATGAGAGACTTAAAGAATTTCCTGCACACCATGAAGATGAACAACTAGAACTTGGTAATGATTCTTAATGAAAATGTTTGTTGAATACGTTTGTTCATTCTACAAGAATTTGACTGCGTTGGCTCTGGCCTCTTACTTTCCACTTTCAGGTTATTAATTATTAATACATGTAATTTGATCAATTGAAAGAGTCACCCCACCTTCCAGTCAAAATCCTTCCTGAAACATTGGGTTGAAAAGCTGGCTCCACAGAATCCAGGCTTAAAAGCAAACAAAACCCAGTGAAACAAAACAAAAGGTCTGGAGGGCTTTACCAAGCATGGGCTTCACTCCACTTCCCCCTCTCCATATGTGCTAACATTAGAGCTAAGATTCTTTCAGTTGTCTATGCCAGTATCAATTGAGCTCCAAACAAGATTTGTTTGCTGCCAGTATCCTTTTGTAACATTTGTTCCAGAAAATGATTTCTTAGTCTGGATTCTGGCTTACATTTCTTCAGGGAAAACAGAAGGATTCTGATAAGTGTCCTTAACTTTCTCACAGGGTTTCCTTTGCACAGGGGATCATCTCTTACACATGTAAACATTAGTGTAGGGGTGCTAGAAGAGCTGATAACTAACATTTAGCCCATGCAGGAAGCTTTTTTATTTTCTGACAAATGTCTGTCACTGGACTTAAACTGGAGTGAGACTGTAATGGGTCTTGTTCTCAGCTCTGGTTGGGATTGGGAAGGGATGCAGAAACCTGGCATGATGAGGAGCTGCCTTAGTTCTAAGTATGATAGAGAGGCTTTCCTATAAAAAGGCTATTTTTTAGCTTTTGCAAGGAGTAGATGCCAGTTGAGGATGGAGAGAATTTGGTATGCTTTGGAGAAAACCATACTGGGGAGGGAGAGTGCAGAAATTGGTAATTAGTCCCCTACTTGTCAGTAGTGTTGTCCTGCTGAGTAAGATATGCTTAGGTGTACATGTGCCTCTCTGCCTACATCACCGTAAAACAAGTGAGGAAACTCTGAAGTGCATCATTCCCAACATTAAAAGTCAAAATTCAGGTGAGTTAATGTCAGAAGATAGACAGGTTCTGTGTGTTCCACAAGAGATGACAAATTTGCTGATTATTTTGAAGTAGAGAAGTTCTGGATGCTTCTTGAAGCACGAGTACTTGATTTGGTATTTGGAAGAAATGGACTTGGTGTTCCCCTGCTCGCAATGACATAAGATGTAATGAGTTTTTAGGTTTCTAGTCTGCATAATGAACAAAAGCAGCCTTATTTACAGCCAATTGTAAAGTCAGTTGTGACCTTTAGGCACTGTTGAGGAATTCTGATGGTAGATTTTCTGTAACAGGGCGGCATCTTTTCCTCTCAATGCTGTGGTTACTGCTGACTGTTGCAAAATGCTGTGTTATCCTGGCTTAAAAAGATCCCTTTTTTCTTGTTGACATCACTTAAAGATACAGTGTGTGCTTGTAACAGGAAATTATTCAGCAAAACACATTGTAGATACTGTTAGGGATATGGGAGAGAAAAGGAAGTAGTAAGTGAGTCTCTATTTCCTCTGATTCTTACCAAAAGCCAGAGAGCTGTGGACTCACTTATATTTTTAAGTCCTTTCAAATAAGAGGGTGATTTATATCCTAATGATGGCTTATGTGTCTCTCTGTTCACATGTGATTTAGATTTTTGGAATCATGGTCATGGCTGACTTTACAATTGGTTGTGGATTGATATATGCCACAATACTTAATTTTCCTAGATGTATAAATAACTCAGTGGATTAAATCAAGATTTTTGTCCTCTAAATGATCTGTAAGTCTAATTTTAGAAGATAGTTTTCATACTGTTTTTGATCACTATTTTTCTTGCTGTAAAGCAAAAACACTATTAATAAAGAAGACTTAACTAGGTTCAAAGTCAGTAGTAAAACAGCCCTTGAAACCTGGCTCCATGATTCTTGAGTATTAAAAAGGAAAGTATGGTGAGCAGGTTATTCATTAATGAATTAGTGACTTGCAGTTCATTTCACTGTTCCATTTTTTTGCCAGACCACTGTTTCATGACTTTTTATTTCAATTCCATTTGTCAGAGAACGTATCTCATGCATCTGTGGTGGTTGAGGCTGACCGGAATGAGACATTTCTCCCATTCAGTATCCCTTTGTCATTCCGTTCCCCATCTCCTCTCGTCTCTCTCCAAGCTGTCAAAGAAAGGTAAAACGTGCAGCAGGTTCACTCATCCACTACATCTTGCCCTCTTCTGTCCCCTGGATTTGTAGCATTGTGTGGTTTAGTTCATACTCTGTTCTGCAAACATGTAACACCTGGAGAACCAGAGATGCAGTCAGGTTTGCCAGGCAGTTTAAATCTTCATCTTGGCTCTACTGAAGATACAAAGAGCTGCTGGTAATTTCAGTGGAGCCAAGACTTCAGCCTCAGATTTAAACAGTTCATAATTATTAAATGTCTAGGAATGCTTACTATTACCCTGTAAACTCTGGTTGTGGTTTGTATTAAAGGAAGATTTACTGAATATTGTTTTGGGATTTTGCCTTCCTGTATCTTAGGGGGAAGGCTTCTTATGTTGCATAGGGACAAGCATTAAAACATTCAAAGCAGATAGATACTGCTGAAACACACTTGTAAAGTAGTCTGTCCTAGCCCCACATGAACTTTTCAGTGAATCTAATTGGTTTCCCAAACACTTAGGAAATAATGTATCTTATACCTGCTGCAATTAGATCTGTATCCATTTAATGTATAAATAACATATGTATAAATTGGTATTTTAAAACTCTTAAAAAAAAAAAAAAAGGAGGATGAGGGGGTGGGTGTACAAATACAAAGGTGATAGTGTTAAATATATAACCTAATTTTATGAAAGTGCTATATGTTAATTACTTAGCTAAAATGTCTCTGGCCTGGCAATGGTCTGAAAAATTGCCCAGCCTTCCCTTGTTCACTTCAGTATGTAATTCATGTCCTGCAACAAAGAATTGTGGCTCCTGTCAGCAGTGTGAGGATCTCAGAATAGACATCAGAAGTACATGCAATGTTTTGAGTTCTTTCTAAACTGTAAGCAGCTTTGAGGACCTTATTAGTAATAAGTGTTTCTGCTAATAATGAAAGCTGTATTTTCAAGTATTGACTGCATGCAATTAATCATTAAATAAAGTACCATAAAATTTCAGTTAATTTTAAAAAGTTTAGCTTTAATCTTTCTATACATTCGAATCCAATTGTTTTGCTAGATTTGAATCCTTTCTGCCTTCTGCAGCAAGCTTATTTTTCTGTCCAAATCTTGTTGACATAGTTCTCTTCATGGCAGTGGTATAAATAATTGATTTCTGGTGTGTTCATTGAGCTTTCTCTTCAGTAAAATACCTGAAGGAATAGGGACTGCTGAGTGAAAAGGATGTTGTAGGTGAGCTTTGTAATCTGAAGAATTAATTTGAAGCATTGTCAAGTGGTTTCTTACCATCAAGAGTGACATAATTTCCTAAAAATGCTTTATGTTTAAAAGCTTTAAAATGCAGTGTAGCCCATCTGCATTTATTTGCATGCAAATCAAATACATGTCAAAAATCTCTGGCTAATGTTGGTATGTGATCCTGCTTTTCCAGCAGAAGTGTTAAATACTTCAGGTTTCTGTTCTGTGATGAAAACATGGCTGGAGTATGAATTTTGAGCAGCTTTTTAGTAAGTTTTTTTCCTGTTGGTCATCACTGCTCTCATCCTTTTCTCAAGAGTTCTTCAGATTATAAAGTCTCTGAAATGATGGTTTGAATGAAGAGAGTGCCTGGTTTGTTTGCTTCTGAACTTCTGATTTTAAATGTTTGAACTTGTGATTCCTAGTGTTTCCAGCTTTGTACGCAAAACCACGGAAAAGATTGGCACACTTCATATAAGTCCGGAATCTAGAGGGAAGCATGAAGCAAAGGATGATGAGCAGCTGCCAGAGCTAACTCTTAATCCAGTAGCATCTCCCCAGGAAGAAAAAGAGTGAGTGCAAAATCACATCTTCTAAGCAGTTGTATTTGCTGGATGTCATGAGGATAGCAACCTAAGGAAGAAACTCTTTCAAGCAGAAGGAGAAACTTGGCATTATGTTTTTCCAGCTGCCTTCATTGCTATGGTGGGTTTCAGTGGTTCTCCCAACTCCTTTCTTAGAGCTGATGATGCAATGAACACACAGCTAAGTAATTTCATATTCCAGTGCTTATTTACCACTTTGGACTAACTTTCATACAGTGCCGTGGTACTGGTTTTTTGTTCAGTACATGCAGAAATCTACTGTAGCTGGAGTAGAAGCAATAATAGAAAGCCACAAAAATAGTATTATCTATTGCTCTTCATGCCCAGTTTATCCATATTTTCTGTTGAGCTGTTCCTTCTTACAAGTGATAGCTTTGTATTTAATAAAGGAATTAATATTGAGGAAATTTTTCAGGAAATCCTCACTCAAATTACTGAAGTTAATACTTCAGATAAGACTGAAATGAATGTGCTTTTCTAGGTTAGAACCCCAGAACTGCCAGCTTCCTGAGGAGGACCGTCTGAGAGATCTCAGGGCTGCAACAGCAGAAACTATGTAAGCAGAGAAACTTTCTACTGTATAGATATGTAGGCCTTTGACAGAAAAAAAATTATTGGGTTTTTTAAATTTTCTTTTCATTCATTTTACATGCATGTAAGAGTGATGCTCTAAATGTCTATTAACATAACCTGAAAGGATCTCATTTGATGAATGATTTGATACCTCATTTTAAAACCAAGCAAAACTCACTAAAAGCTCTTCTAGTGTTATTCTTTTGTCTTAAGTACAGGCATAGTTTAAAAAAATCAAAATCACAAATAAAAATTTATTCTGAAAGAAATCCTGGGGAGCTCAAAATGTGCTGAGATAAATGTAGACAGTGTGAAGTAGCCTAAATTCTGTTTGATGCACTCAAAATCACAAAAAAACCCAACTACTGACTCCAAGTCAAATGTAGGAGGGATTTCTTAAAAAAAACAATTGTTGGCTCCTTGGAGAGAGATTGTTCTCCTCCCACTTTGCAACTTTGAACCTATTAGTTGCATAGACCTTGTTAATGGAACACTGTAGTGATCCCAGCCTCTGAGCTAAGAGCAAAAGCATCATAATTAGAATCACAAGTCTGTAGAAACAAGGCAGAAGGGAGAGGAAGGACTTCAGCATTTGCACTGGAAGATTTGGCCTGTAAAGGAATGTGGTTAATGTGAAACAAAACTGAATGGAGTAGATGGTTCTGTGTAGATGAGTGGCTTATGATCACTTCACACTTCCCTGTTCCACAGAAATAATTTCTGGTCTTTTTGATGCCTCTTCAGTTTTATTGAACCAAAGCTTCATGATGATATTGGAAAACCAAACTTTTCTGTTCTCTGCACTCAGCTTCTGCCTTATGTATTTCTTTTAAGAGTGAATTAAAGACCTAGCATTGATTCTGCTCCAGCAGAGAGCAGTTAAACAACAGAATGTTGCTTTGAGGGTTGGTGTTTTGTGTTTGTGTTTCTGAGAATCTCTTAACTGTTTAGATTCTGAGAGCCCTAGAAGTGAAAGTAGTGTATGCATTCCCAGTTTGTCCTTAGTTGGACTGCGCTTGTGCCTGGAGATTAATACCTGCATTTCATCAGGATTGAGGTGGGTGTTGAACTTCCCATGAAAGCAGTGATAGCTGTTGTTCAGCAGAAGGATGAAAGGAGGGGCAGGACACGTTAAGGAAAAAACTTGCCCAAATCTTGTAACTTGTGCACTGATTTATTTCAGAAATAACTTGTCACAGTCCAGTGGCTTTAGCAATGGAAAGTGAAGATATGTTGAAAATACTGAAGCTGCTGCATGACCTGGGGCCATGGGATGACAGCCCACTGTTGCTGGCACATGCTCAAAGGTTTGTACTCCCAATCTTCTGAACTTCCTGGCAGGAATTGCTTCACTTGCCATGTCACCAAGATTCCTGGACTCTATCACCTTTCAGTACTATCTTGAACTTGCAGAACATCTTGAAAATAACATTTTGCTGTTTGGTACTTAAAATAGTTTTTATTCTCTGTTTCTCCAGGCTTTATGAAAAATTTGGGGAAACAGCTCTTCGGCCATTGATCAAGTTCCACCCCTCTATTTTGCCTTCTGATATTAAACAGCTTTGCAGGAATGATCCGGCTCACTTTTTAGCATATTTAGATAGTTTGGTGAAATCAAAGCCAGAGGATAAAAGGTGAGGGGAATGTTTTCATCTGTCTGCTCTCTTAATTGTGTAGCTGTGTGGAGATTCTTTTTGTTTTGGCTTTTGGGGACATATTTTTGTGTTTCTGTATCTGTCTGCTTGGTTTTCTTAAGCATTAGGTTCCAAGTAATTCTGCCAGTTGTAGCTAGCCCTAGACTGGAGTTTTTGTTAGGTTTGTATCTAGTTTAAAAGGGATTTCCTAAATAATACTTCTAATAGAATTGATTTTTTTGTTTCTGTGTCTGCAGTTCAGTGTACCAGGGTTAGATGGCATTTAAAAAAACTCCAAGCAAAAAAAAACAAACAAACAAAAAAAAACCTACAAACAGGAAAAAAAAAAAAAAGAACCCCACCCAAAACCACAAAAACAATAAATCCAAAAAAAACCCCAACCAAATCTGTGGGAACTCAACCTGCAAACTTGATTTTCTGTGGTTGCCTCAGTTTATAGAGACATAGAGACCTAAACAATTTTGGGCTTTTCCACATTTAATTTTACACACCCCACTTTTTTTTTTTTTTAGGTTAATTTGTCCACACACAATCTCTCCTTCTCCGTTTATGCTATATTTAAAACTGGTAGGATTTTTTTTAGTGTCTGCTTTGTTTTCCAGGCCATTTCTCCTTAGGTCTCTTCTGCAGCCGGAATCTGTGCGGTTGGATTGGTTGTGCTTGGCAGTTTCTCATGATGCTCCACAAAGGGCAAACACTGTGGATGAGGAAGGAAATCCCAGGTAAAGTGGTTTTCATTCAGGGTCCTGAGTGCAGCAGAAAGACTTAACAGGTCTGGTTTTGGGTTAGATTTTGTGTGAAAGTTTGGATCACTGACTCCTTGGAGCATTTTGCAGTGTTCAGCAGAAACAACCAAAGGATTGAATAACTTTTATTTGCAATGCCTTCCAGAGTGACTGCTCTACTGAGACTGCACATGGTGTTTCATTCATTTCTCCTCCTCTCTTTTCATAAATCTGCCATGATGTTCTGAAGAAAATCAATAATGCTTTAAAACTGAGTTTCTCATCTTCTAGGCCACGATCGCATTTGTTTACCTGGGGCTACAGCCAGCTCATTCTGCTCTTGATTAAACTCCCAGCTGATTTTGTTATGAAAGAGAAGATGGCTGACATCTGTAAATCACATGGGTAAGGAAAAAGCTTGGCAATTCTAGATACTTGCTTAGTAGGTATTCTTCTGAGAAGATACAAATGTAAATGACCTATCTGCTTTTTGTTTGGACAGAGGTTTTTTAAAAACCTTTCCTTTTTTGAGGGTGAATATTCAATGTCCAATTTAATGTACCAAATGGGAGGTATTCCTCGTGTCCCTACTCTCTTTCTGGCATTCATTAAATTTAGTTGCTTTTGTCTTTACTGATACTTAAATGAGCATGTGATTGTTCTTGACTTCGGTTTGAACTGAGTATTTGATTCCTAGAAATCTTTACTCTCTTATTCAAGATTTTGGCCTGGATATCTTTTTCTCTGTCTGGAGCTGGATAGAAGAATAGAAGCCTTTACTAATATTGTTCATTTGGATGATTTGAGCCTGTTGAATGGAGAAGATGGTTAGTGGTTCTTAAGCTGTATAAACATACTTCTGTAATGTAGAACTGCCCTCATATAGCAGTTTGCCCAAAGCTGAATAGAACTTTGATATTTTGAAGTGTTTTTGTAGCCCTGACTGTGTGTAGTACAGCATATTTGAAACACATAAATGGGTGTAATACTCTTGTATCTTCATGCTGTGCTTTGTGAAATCAGTTATGCTAGAAAACGCTTAAAAGTTAAAGAATCTTGATTTGTTTATTAGTAAAAGCTGGGCGTAAAAGTTAACCTTGGTGTTGTAGACAGAAGAGTAGGAAACCTTCCTGCACAGCACAAAACTCCCTCACTACATGTGCAGACAACCAAAGGTAGGGTGAGCAAAGAATTGTACCATAAGGCAGAACTTATAAGATGATTCACTCTGGCCCTAAGGTGGACAAAACTTTGTCTCTTGACTTAATGCAAAGCCTTGAATACTGAACTATTGTGAGGCTATGTGTGTTCACCACTAAATCTTTACACTGAGTCAGTCTGGGCAGTACATTGCTGTGCATAATTTGCTTGTTGATAATGCTTGGATAATGCTTAGATTCCTAAAATCTTGAGAGTAAAACAGAATAGCTAGCTTCCCTTTTAAGTACAGATATAGTTTAAATAGTAGTCTTAGAATAATCCTCGTTTTCCAAATAATGTTAACAAACTCATTTTACATCTAGGTTCCATTCCAGAGACTATAGAAGAATGGAAGTTTGTTCTGCATCTTGCACAGAATCACAGCACAGCTTCCCACCAGCACAGCCCACAGAATGGGAATGCTGTCAGCAATGGAGGCCCCAGCTGCCCAGACTGCATCACTGTGGAAAACGTTGCTCTGTTGCTGGCCAAGGCCATTGGCCCAAATCGTGCCTTGCCTCTCTTGCAGGAGTGTGGCTTGACACTAGAATTGTCTGAGAGGTTTACTGGTGTCTGTGAGATACTGAGAATTGCTGAGAAAAGGCAGAGGTAAGAGATGTCAGCAGGAGACCCACACTATTCTTTTTGGATCTCCTTCATGCTTTAAATTTCCTTTTTGGTTTACAAGAAGATACAGTGCTTCACATTTTTACCTTTGGTTTTAGACTCATCTGAAAGTTTTTCTTGTTATTTAAGAACTGTGTATTTTGCAATGTAGGCATTTTAAAATTGAAAATGAGGAAACAGGAAATCATACATTAAAGGTGTATGTGAAGGAGATTCTCTGAAAGAGATCTGTCCTGGTAAGACCTGTACAGACTCTGATCTCTCCTTTTTCTTTCAGAGGTGTGAATGGTGATGTCAGAATGTTATTTCTGAAATTAAATAATGTTTTTTACAAACTTCTCTTTAAAAAGCAAACCAAAGCTCTGTTGTTCTTTCTGTTGTTAGCTTTTTTACTGTTTGACTTTTTTTTGTCCCCTTTGCTTTATTTGCAGAGCGCTGATTCAGTCCATGTTGGAAAGGTGTGACCGGTTTTTGTGGTCTCAGCAAGCATAGAAAGCAGCTTGGGAGAACTCTGGGAACAGTTTATACTGTAATGACTGTATATTCAAGTGCCTCTTAGATTTCACAGGCCCTTAAAAATAACCAACTCCTGTCTGAAAGTTCAGTTATACTGAGCCAGTCTCCATCTGGCAGGTATCTGATCTGGAAGTAATTTCTTCCTTATTCCTTTGGAGAAGACTTTTGAACTGTAGAATATAGATCAAAACAAGCCAGTATTTATATTGAAATTAAGCTCATAGATTTCCAAGATGAAAATTGCTGAATTTATTTTCTGAGTCTATAACTTAAGTGTTCAGGGATATGAGTCCCTAAGTATTAAATTATGGTGTATAATTTTTTTTTTGTTTCTTTGTTTGCAAGCATGAGAAACCATTCCTGGGAAGTATCTAAGTCTATACTTGTTTAACTTTCCTGTAAATGACATTTACCTTTACTTTTGCTGTAGATGTGTCTCTTATGGTACCTGTTGGTGTTTTTCCCTTCTTAAATTATATAAACAGGCCTTGCCTATTTGAAATACATTAACCAAGCCAAGTCTCAAAATGGGAGGGAAATATTTCTAAGTAGAGTATTTATGGCTAAAAATGCTGATTAACAGACAAACTTGTTAAATGAACTCGCTGTTAAACTACAAGCACAATATTTCTAAATTGCCCATACCTGTTTGTGCACTGTGACCATAGACATCAGTTGTGATACTCCAGCAGACCTCGGGACAGTGGATTAGAATCAGAGTCATTTAAGTTGGAAAAGACCCTGAAGATCCAACCCTATAACCATTAGCCTAGCACTGCCAAATCCACCACTGAGCCATGTCCCAAAGTGACACTTCTACATGGCTTCTCAATGCCTCCAGGGATGGTGATTCCACCCCTTCCCTGGACAGCCTGTTCCAGTACTGGACAATGCTTTTGGTGAATAAATGTTTCCTGATATCCAATCAAAAGTTGTCCTGGAGCAACTTGTGGCCATTTCTTCTTGTACTATCCCTTGTTATTTGGGAAAAAGAAACCCACTCCCACCTGGCTACAGCCTCCTTTCAGCCATCCAGCCAGTTTTTTGGTTGGTGAACAGTCTACGTGTCCAAGCCATGAGCAGCCCATTTCTCCAGGAGAACGCTGTGGGAAACAGTGTAAAAAGGTTTTCTTGAAGTCCAGGTCAACTTTGGTAATTCCACAATTAATTCTTACATTTTGGAAAGTGAGAGGACTTATTTTAATAATATTTTTAAAAGCTGAAGGTTTACATAAGTATTTTTAGATGAATGCTGTCAAGAAAGAAGTCTTTTTATGTATCTGGTTGAATATGAAGATTCACAAAATCACTTGGATTTTATATCTCGTTTACATAACTATGCTTTGTACTAGCACTCTTTCTGCATTTAATACATCTTTGAACGAGTTTCTTTTTAGGCTTCTAGTTTTGATCCCCTTCATTATCTGACTCACATTTTAAGCAAAAAGCCACATCATCTGGTCAATATTCAGTTTTCACAAATATCATTTAAAATAAAAAGTAATGCATTAATTAAAACTAAATTTAATTAAGATTTGATAATTTTGTTATAAAATGATGTGAAAATACTGCTTTATAAGGAATCTGATGTAGACTTGCAGCACTTGTATTGCTGCAAAATAATGCTTTTAATCAAAATAGGACTGAGTACAATGTTTGGCCTTTTGAGAGATACAGTATGCAGACTGTTTCATCTTGTCTGCAAGAAAAACTTGGGTGTGGTGCGTTGGTTACTTCACACGGGGAAGGCAAATTCCAGGGCAACAACGAATGTCCGGTTTCCAGCCAGAGTGTTGCTTGTGGAAAAGCCAGTACTGAACTATTTCTAAAAAAGAAAACTTCAAAGCTTCTGGGGTTTACATACTGCCATTGGAAATAGAAGGATCTGTGCCATCAGGAATACCCCATGCTCTCACAGTATGGCTTGGAATGGGAGCCAGGCACCCACCAGATGGTGTTGGTGCCTGTTCTGTTCCCTGCCAGATGAGCTGCTGCTGCCTCAGGGGCTGCCACAGTTACCTACCTCGGGTTCATGCAGTGTGTGGTGTAGCTGAGTGCTCCCCTTGCCTTCCTCAGAGGAATTCCTGGATTTGTGAGAACGTGCCTGGCTTACCTCTGTATGGTTCCACTCTATTTGCTTGGTGTATTTTGTGTACACATCAGTCTCTTTCTTACTTCTGTGGGGGTTTTGTACACTTGGTTAACTTTGAGGGTTGGGGCCTTTTTTTTTTTAATTTTATTTTACAGTAAATCATAATTCCAGTTAGAACTTTTTTAAAAAAAATGTCAGAAGGGTCATACAGATAACATAATGGGATGTGTGTGTTCAGATTTTGTGTCTAAAGTGAGCTTGTGTTTATAATTTCAACTAACTTGGCTGTCAATAAAGAGTGAGAATGTACTCTCTGAAGAAGTGGTGAGAATTAATATTTCCTATTCTGAATGAGTTTGTTTTCATCTCATATGGGTAGGGTGAAGGGACTGAAATGAGAGGGTCTTCTGTTCAGAAATTACTGAAACAGAAACTGCCTCAGTTGCACCGAGCAAGGCTCCTGTCAGCCAGCTGAGCACACATCACTGACAGCTCAGCCAGCCTCATGGGGAAGGTGACTGCAGCTCAGCTTTGGTTTTTGTGGGTGAATGATGGTGAGAGAGACCCTTGAGAAGTAGAGATGAATAAAGGGGGCTTAGCCTAGAGCAGCTTTAAATAGAAACTGCTGGTGCTATTTTCTTTTTACCAAAGAAAAAAGTATACATTATTTCACAGTTAGAAATCTATGGGTAAATAAATTTTACTTCAGGTAAATACCTGCATTTTAAACCTGCTTCTTGAAAGGAGACAAGTTTCCAGTCATTCTCCACGTCTATAAACCCAAGGTCACTGGCAGTGTAATATTCAATACTTGGCAAAACTCTTGAAATGAATTATTGCACACGTAAACAAAAAAAAAAGGTACTGTTTTTTCCCAGATTAAGAAATAACTGCAGATATTACTGTGCCTGAGCTGGGAATTCACCTCATCCCCTTTCTCAGTCTGATTTTCTCAGATTGCAAAATTGTGGAATGCTTGTGGAACATAGTTTGCATTCATAAATATTTACAGTTACAGGGCAACCAGCATGGGGTTGCTTTTTATCTTAACTTGCATCAGAATGTGCAAACCAATAAATGGTCTGCAGGCCCCCTCAGTGTGTTGTGTTCCCCAGTGTGCACGTGCTGCCAGTGTTTCTTGCTGGGCCAGGAAGAAGTGCTGTGTTCAAACCCTCCTCCGCACTTGGAGGCAGCTTTGCCTCTTTCTATTGCAAAAGCAGCAGTGTTGGCTGCAGCTCATTTCTGTGAGCCAAGGGTCATGACCTGGAGTGCAGGACAAGAGAATAGGGGAAAGCAGGGCTCAGGCTGTTCCCTGCTGGAGCCCCGAGCTGCAGCTTTATCTCAGCTCCAGCATTGTTGTCACTGCTGCTGTCCTTGCTGGACACCAGGGCATGCACTCTGAGATGTTCTAAAGAATCCCTCCAGCACCTGCCTTCTTGCAATTCTCCTTATGTTTTGCAGAAATGCATTTTTTTGTCCTCATTGTCCTTCATGTTTTGCAGAAATGTTGGTTTGGAGAGAATGTGAAACAGTGTAAGACTCAAAATATCCCCTGTGGTCCAGAGTGTGTGAGCTCTTGTAGGGAAAGGTTTCCTTAGGTCAGTTTTGAAGGCAATGCTTTGTTCTAAGTCCCTGGGCAAAGTGCCACATGCCTGTACCGCAACTTACAGGAGTCATTTTCCTTGTGTTTTAAAAACCAAAGGTGATGGCCAGGGCTGTTTGCAGCCAGCAGAGAAGGCACTGGAGCTGCCACGTACTGCAAGGATGTGGGTCATCAGGGTGTGAACAGGGCTCTAGCAAAGTACACACTCCACTCCCTACAGTAGCTGAGCTCTTAACACTGTGGAGTATCCAGTTCAGGAATGCCAGGGGACAAAAATCTATGTCCTTGTCCATTTGGTTCTGGTTTAGATCTTGTTGCAAATTGTTCCATTCTGAGATACATCATGCTAGAGTATCTGTCCTGCTGCTCCAGTTTATGGAAAAAGTCTAAGCTAATTTTTTTTTGTCTGAAGTCCAGTGACACCCAAGTTCCTGTTGACACTTTATTAGCTTTTTTGCACCTCTTTCAACTCATGCCTCTGCCCTGAAGCTCCAGAAGCAAATTGTTTACAGTCACAGAGTTGTGAGTGGGGCAGCTACCCTTAACTCTTCAGAGGGGAACCTGAAGTGCTCTCCTAGGCTTGCCAAATCATGTACAAGGCCACACAATGGGGACACCCTGCACACTCACTCTCGAGTGCAATTGCACTCAGCCCTGGAGTTTTCTTCAGAGGAAAGGGTTGTGTCAAGTTGTTAACCGAGGGAAGTGAGCAAGCTTTAAGCAGGGAGAGCACAGTGGCTACTTAAACAGTGAACCATGCCAATAGGGCCAGACAGGTGATTTAAAATCTAGCAGAACTGTGGCTGTATGGATCTGAATTTCCCCTTAAGTAAAATGTTTACTGCAGTGTCCAAAACTTTCCACCTGAGCCCCATGGAGTTGCTGTTACAGCAGGGTGGCTGGAGACCCTCGAGAGGGGCCTGTGAGAGCAAGCCAAGGCAAAATGAACCATTCAGAGCCTCTTGTCTGTGTGTCTGTGCTATCTTACAGCATGATCAGCAGGGATGTAGGTGTATGTGCTTTGCTTTGCAATGGAGTTAAGAGCAACACTTCATATTTTCCATTTCAGTAACTCTGGAATTCATCTGGCAATCCCAGCACACATGGGAATTTCACTTAGCAGTTCCTGAAGCCCTTCTGGCAATGCAGCTCACTGTTCCTTTTGCACACACACAGACTTGGCCTTGTGTTCCAATGTGCAGACAGTCAGGCACCTTCCCCTCTGAACTCTGTTCAGTCCAAGATCCAAACAAAAGTATCACCCTTAAGACAGCAGTAACACTTCAAGCACATGGAACTCTTCAGCCTTTAAGGCAGTTTGTCAGTTTGGTTGTTATGAGGAGAAAATAGTCCCAAGGACAGCTGAAGAAGTACCATATACACTAAAAGATTGCATAACAGGAGCTATGGACTTTCAGTAAGGACAAGGACAGGTTTCCAGTAATGATTTCTGTGTTGGAAATGCTAGTGGGGATTTCCCAGCCATGGGTATCCTTTCCAGTTTCCTCTTTTGAGGGGTTTGAATTGCTTATAAATACCCTCTTTGAGAGCACACGAGACTATCTCCAGCTCCTTTGACTTTGCTGTTCTGCAGTGGTGAGTGACATTCTGAATTTGTGAGCTGTGTGCAGTGTTTTGAGCTGGTATTTTGGGAGCGGGACTAATGCTTCAGCATGTGGGGCTTCTTTGTACTCATGACAGGAGCAGCAGGGAGTGCTAAAATGCAGGCTGCTCATGTGCACCTGCTTTAGTGCTCATGTGCACAAGCTTTTTGGAGCTTGTGGTTGCACAGAGGGCACCACTCCTGGCAGGGGGAGAAGGGGATCCTTGGTGAGCCCTCATCACTGAGGCAGCAGCCCAGGCACAGCTGGGGGTGTGGTGGGTTCTCAGTGGTGCTCCAGAACTGCTCATGTCTCTCACTGTCTCCCAGCTCCCTGTCAGGCTTGGCCAGGAACCATGAGGCTCTGGGTCTGCATCGCGTTGCTCTCTGTTGTTCTGTGTGTGAGTGCTGACAGACCAAGGATAGTCCAAGGAATGACCCGTGCTGGACAATTTGTCCGGGATGCAGCGAGAGGTAAGCTGCTCTTACCATGGGCCCTTCCTTCAGGAACCCCTCCCCAGGCATGAGCCAGCAGTCAGTGGTGCAGCCCTCAGAGCTGGGAAATCCTCAGCTCCACGTTAGAGATGCCCTGGTTTCTGCTGCTGGATGAGGGCCTTGATCAGCCCCACAGGTGCTTTCTGTGGGCACAGCCCTGTGCAAAGGCTGATGTGGGGCAGTGCCTCACTCTGTTACTGCTCCTTGGGCCTTCCAGCTCCTGACTGAGGTGGTACTGAACTATTTCTGGTGCGACTCTTTCAAGTCAACATCATCTCCATTTCTCTGCCTTTTTCAGGTACATGGGATATGTTCAGAGCATACAAGGACATGCGCGAGGCAAATTACAAAGGTGCCGACAAGTATTTCCATGCCCGTGGGAATTATGATGCTGCCCGGCGAGGACCTGGTGGTGCTTGGGCAGCGAGAGTGATCAGGTAATGGAGTGTGCTTGGCTTGTTAACAGTGAGTTATTAGGGATCCAGGCATTCCAGCTGGAGCGAGGTCCTTTTTGATTTGTACTCAGCTTAGCACCTAGAGGGACAGCAGAGGGGAGGGAAAGTAGTTCCCATCTGGACAGCCAGTCTCTATAGGAATGGTGCCACACGAGCATGAGCCTTTCTTCTTGTCGGCCCGAGAAGGCAGATTCCTCTCTGCATTTCTGATAAGGAACTCTCCATTGCTGGTTCATTTCCCAACATAACAGATATAGATTCCACCGCGGCCTCTCAGACAAAGGCCGAGCATGTGCTTGCATCTCACCTTGAGAAGCCCTACGGAAAAGCAGTTTCACATGAGTGAGGGAACCAACACAAGGCTGAGTTAGATGCAGTCTGCTCAGGTGGCCTTTTCTCCTTCCCCGCAGCGACGCCCGGGAGGGCTGGCAGAGCAGCGTGAGCGGCAGAGGCGCCGAGGACACCCGCTTGGACCAGGAGGCGAACGCGTGGGGCCGGAGCGGCGGCGACCCGAACCGCTACCGGCCCAAGGGGCTGCCCAGCAAGTACTAGCGCTGTACTCCGCTCCTGTCACACCTCCCTTTGTAAAGCCAATAAAGGAATCCTCCTGAGAACTGTTCCCTTCGTTGCGAGCATCCATCCTCCCGGGGCGCGGCACTGCGGGGCGGCGGCGGCGGTGTCGGTGTCGGGGCATCGCGGGGGCTGCCAAAAGTGCTCCGAGAGCGCGGGTGCCGCTCCCCGCCGAGGGAAGGCCCTGGGCGGGCGGGTCTCGGCACTATCCAGTCACGGTCCCGGTGCGGTCCCAGCACGGTCCCGGTGTGATCCCAGCACAGTCCCAGTGCGATCCCGGCACAGTCCCGGTGCGGTCCCGGCGCAGGCCCGGGCGCTGGAGGCGGCAATGGCCGCCGGTGGGCAGGGGGCGCTGTGGGGCCGCGGGCGCCGCTCCGGCCGCGCCGCCGCCTCGCTGCCCCCGCACGGCTGTGGGGCCACCATGGACCGCAATCCGTCGCCGCCGTGCAGCGATGCGGAGGAGGAGGAGGGGGACGCGGTGGGCAACACGGTGTACAGCAAGCACTGGCTCTTCAGCGTCCTCACCCGCCTCATCGAGGTGCGCGGCCGCCGGGAGGGAGCGGGCGGCGGGCCCGGCGTCGGTCAGCGCCGGGTGGGTGCGACGCGATCGCTGCCGAGGGGGCCGGGGGGGACACCCGGGGACAAACCCGGGACACAGCTGGGATTCACAGGGCACAAATCCGGGGGCCGGGCTGGGACACAGTGGGAAAACACCGGGCGGGGACCCAGCGACTCCCGGTGGTGCCGGGGGTTCAGCCGGGTCGTTGTCCCCCGCCCCGCCTGCCCCAGGTGATCGCCCCCGCGGAGCCGGACCCCGCCGCCAGCCCCGAGGGAGCCGGGACGGAGCTGGACGAGGAGATGGAGAATGACATTTGCAAGGTGTGGGACATGTCGATGGACGAGGTAGGAGCCTTGTGCGGCACCTCGGGGCGCCTCTGCCCCGAGTGTCCCGTCAGAACAGTGGGAGAAGGCAGGGAATCGGCTGGCTCGTTCTGCTGGTGCTGCTCCCGCCCGGCTGTGGCGGGCAGGGTGGGGCAGGACAGCTGGGCTGGGGCGGCTCCAAGCGGCCTCACCGCGGAACCTGCCCTGGAAGGAGGAGCAGGGGCAGGACAGCAGCTGGAATTAACTCGGGTGCGCTGCCTGTGCCTTGCTCACTTGGATTATGGGGATAGTATTGATGCCGTCTCTAAACAGGCGTATTTTCCTCTAGCAATTGTCATACGTCCTGATGGTAAGCATAGCTTTCTCTGATAGATAAACAGCCAAAGCTAAACTTTCAAAGTTTAGCTGAAGACTTGCAGTGGCAATGTAGCACAGCTTCCTAGTATTTTTCTGAGCATTCTCAAATGCTGGAACAAATTCTTTATATATATATATATATATATATATATATATATATTAAAGTCAACATGGAACATGGGTCTTTTATTCTCAAACAGACAAATAATCTTGTGTTTTAATGTGGTAAAATGAGGAAGAGATTTCTTCTTGTGTGTTCTGATCAAGTGCTAATGGCAGTCCCTTCACTTGCTTCTTTTTTATATGTCATGGTGATGTCATGCCTTAAAACATGATATTTACTGAATTCTGGTTGAGTGTCTGTTTCTCTTGAGATAGGGGTCAATTTGCATTTTCTTGCAAATGTGACTTTTTGGCTCATTTTACAGCAAATCACTGGAATACTGACACACCAGAGGGGCTTGCTGGCCTTCTCTCATTGGAAAAGAAGGATTATTGGTATTAACTGTTGGCAAATAACAAATTCCTTGTAGTGAGTTTGTCATCTCTTTGATCCAGTCCTTGTGCTGTGGGAGCACATTTGATTTTGCATTTGGAAATTGCTGAGGTCCATTCACCTCTCCATTCACTTTCTCCACAGGATGTTGCTTTATTTCTTCAGGAGTTCAATGCCCCTGATATATTCATGGGAGTTTTTGCCAAGTCCAAATGCCCTCGCCTAACTGTAAGTATGGGCTGTTAGAAAGCTCTCCTGTGTTAGCAGCAATAGCAGATAGCTCTGTGCATGCATTTACATTTATCTCCCTTCTCCCATTGCATGTGTAGTGTATAAGGAGAACCAGGAGAAAACACAGAATCAAGTTTTAAGATGCTTTGTCACTCTGTTTTTAACATGCTCTAATCAGTAAGAATTTTGGTGGTGCTGAAGCTGGTACATGTCTACTCACAGATCCTCATGTAATACACTGAAGAAGGACTGAGTTTATCAAACGTAGTTACAAGACCTGTTATGAAACCCAGCAGTCTGGCCTTTTTTTCCTTTTGACTTGTTTCATGATTACTGAACAGAAATGGTCATGAATTTGTTTAGTCAGACCTGCAGAAGTGTGGCTGGAGGCCAGGTGCCCACCAGAGCTGCTCTGTCACTCCCCTCCTCAGCTGGGCAGGGGAGAGAAAATGCAACAAAAGGCTCTTGGGTCAAGATAAGGGCAGGGAGAGATCACTCACCAGTGGCTGTGATTTGTCATGGGCAAAACAGACTGCACTTGGGGAAATTAATTTATTACTGATCAAGTCAGAACAAGATAATGAGAAATAAATGAAAGATTACAGTAAGTAATTTTTGGAATTATTAAGACCAACAGTTTATTTTTTTTTCTTTTTAATTTTCCACTTGTTTTGATGTCACTGATTTCCAGCTTGTACTACACAGTGCACTGCAAATCTCAAAATAGGATTTTCAAAGGTATTCAGTGTTGATGTAAAACCTCTTTCTCAGAAGTTACCAGATGCTTTACTCCAGGAGATCAGTAGAGACAAATAGAGCTTTGAAAGTTTAGTACTTTGTCTTTGGAAAGTACAACCCCAATTTGCAAGTGAGTGCAAATTGGCTGTCACAGCTACTATCATAAAACAGTGTGTGCTGGAGTGCCTGCTGTTATTTAGCAGAGGTTGTAGCATGTTCATAATTAAGAAGACAGCCTTAGTGGAGAGAGTTGATTTCTGACTTTAAATTGCTGCAGACTAATGACTCACTTTGTTTTAGCACTAGTCACCTGCAGGTGTTTCAGAGCTCTCATGGTCCCCTTTACACAAGTGTGCATCCTCTTAATGATTGCCTTGGCATGAATATCCTGATGGGGTGCACTCCTTTGGGGTTTGTTTTCTATTTTATTTTATTTTAGATCTCTTTAATCAGAAAATGGGCTTTGCTGGAAGCTTGTATTAAGATCCCTTTCTTTTGTGGGCAAGTGAATATCATGAGTATCATGTTTATGTAGTGATATTTTTGGTTTAGGACTCCTTTTTGCTTTAATAACAGGGCTGTCAAATTAGCTTCAAAACAGTATACAAAGAATATGCAAGCAGAGCTGATTTCAAGATACATTTGCTTTTATGGAGCACCTAAATATCTGCATAGTACCTGAGTGTATTTTAGGCTAGTCTGATAGAACAGAAAAATCTGTATGGAATCTGTGGAAAAAAATTGTATCTTGTCATGAAATCAGCGGGTCATACAAGCTTGGAAGTCAAACTAGAAAACATCTTTGAACCTCTCTTACTTTTGTCTTATGGCTCTGGAAGTGAAATTGTGGACTTGCAGTTGTCTCATTTTACTGTGTATTGGCTTTCCAGGAAATCTGTGTGGGAATACTAGGGAATATGGCCTGTTTCCAGGACATCTGCATGTCCATTAGCAAAGATGAGAATCTTGGGTAAGTGTCTGTGCTTTGTACATGAACAGGTACTGCTTGTCTGGACTCACAGTCAGGAAATTCATGTTGGAGAAGGATCTAAACTTGCCTGCCCAGCCTTGTCTTCATTCATAATTTTTGGCTGGCCATGTTTGTGTGGAAAGTGCTGAGGAAAGGAAGAAAGGTCACAGACCACTATTTTTGGGGATTTTAACCACCAGTCAAGTTAGTTTTTAAGTTTGGTGGTCTTGACACACTGGAAGTGGATGCACAGTTAGGAAGAGCTGGCTTTAATCTCAGAACATGGCTGCAGTTATGAAATTAATCTTTTAATACCTTTTTTAGAAATAAAGATGGATTTTATTAACTTTTTCCCCCCTGAATTTTCTCCTTAAAGCCAAGTGTTACTGCAACGTTTGTGTGATTCAGACTCCCCAACTCTTCTGGAAACAAGCAGGTAGGACATCTCAGAAATTAATCCATCATTAGTGTAGTTCTGCTATGCTCTGAGGCCTGGGGAGAAAACTGACAAGTGGGCTCACTATTTTATTATCCTCTCATCCTTTCCTTTTATTGTTTCTGCACTGTTGTGGAGTCACTTTGCTGTGACTTAGATTCCTCTTTCTGTTTCCACTGCCACTATTTTGGATTTACACTTGTACAGCTTAAAGGAGTGAACTGGCATCTGATTTGTCAAACGGGGAATTCTTGCCTAGGTTGTTGTTAACTTGCCTCTCCCAGCCTGAGGTGGCCAATGTCTGGGTGGAGAGGATCCGAGAAAACCCTTCTGTGTACGACTGTGTTTGCTTTATCATGTCCAGCTCTACAAATGGTAAGTTGCCAAAACAAGCTGGGATTTACTGGGTGTTTGCAGAAGAAAAATAAGCGAAGTTTGCAATTTCAAAGACAAATATTTTCAGTTGGGTTAATTTCTTTAAAATAAAGGAAACCTCATGAGTTTAAAGGACACCAAAACAAACATGCCCTGCCTTTGCAGGTTTATAAATATATATAAAACCAGCCAGAAAAGCACTCATAGAGGAAGAAGAAACCTCTGTGAGGGAATAAAAATATGTTTAAATTGAAGAAATTGTTATTTGCCACAATAAAAGAAAGGACATAGTCCTCATTTAGGGATATACATATGTAATTTTTGAACCTTGAAACAAGACCTCATTTAATTTATTTCTTTCAAGTCAGATACGGATTTTCTATTTTTAAAGCTACTGTATCTGTGGAATGTGAACTGGAGGAACAGTTCAATTACCCTGGCAGCTGAATACTGTGCAGACTTTGGGTATGCAGACATGCTACACAAATCTCTCTTAGCACTAATTTAGCAAAAACCACACCAACCACCTAAAAATGGAAATATTTTGAATAGCATTTATGTTTAACATCCAACTCAGCTGTAACAGCAGTTGTCATTTGTCAAGGAATCCTAATAATACAGCTTTTTCAAATTTTTAATCAATTTTTAAATGCCAGTTCTCACAAATCCATCTCCATCCAATTGAAATAACAGACCTGTGTAAGTAAAATGCAGATTGGCAGGTGGATGATTAGCATAAAACTGCATATCTAGGACCAAATCTTGAAAAGCTTCACTTCAGAAGGAGAAGTTAGGACTTTTCAGGAACATGTCATCTCTTTGCAGAACAGAGTTACTGCTTCACGTGTGGCATGACAAGGTAGAAGGTGTCAGTGGGCTTTGCAACAACCCTGATGTATCAAACTCTTTACCTGTTCTGTGCCACATAAAGGGATTAAACACAGCAACCAGTAGTAGGTCACAAAGAAAATGAATTGATTTCAGTCCTGAATTTACCCCGAATACTTGTATATGCTAGAATTTTGTGAGCTAAGTTTTACTCTTCATTTTTAGTCTTGTTGAAATAAAAATTACATTCTCTCTTGTGCAGTTGAATTGCTGGTGAAAGTGGGTGAAGTGGTGGACAAGCTCTTTGATCTGGATGAAGAGCTGATGTTAAACTGGATCAAAAATGGCACTTGTCGCTCTGTGGGACCATCTGTAGATGATTCTCCTGAAGAACTTCCAGACTTTAAGATTGTGCCTTGTATACTTGAAGCAGCCAAGCAAGTCCGGTATGGGAGATTTCTTTTTGGTTTCATGGCTGGGGAGATTCCTTATAACCTTGTATGGCCTGTGCTCAAACATCTTGCTTTTAGTGGCAGTTTGACAAATCACTGGGATATTTTTTCCTGGACTTACATTTTGATATGAGTCAATTTGTTTGTTTGCAAAGGGAATGGCAGTGACTGCTGATGTGCTTCTCTGTGACCAAAACACAGAACATAAGCTCAGTAAGCAGCACTTTAATTTGTCTGTTTGATGTTTGTTCTGTGTAGATCAGATAACCCAGAAGGACTGGATGTTTATATGCATATCCTGCAGCTCCTGACCACAGTGGATGAGGGAATCCAGGCTATTGGTAAGAACCTGGAATTGCTGCGTGTGAGGGGGCCGCTGTGTATTTATTGGGGAGAACAGGAATTCATGTACCTGGAATAAATTTGTTGGGTTGGTGGGCTCTCTTTCTTTCTTTCTCAAGTGCAGGCTCCTGATGGAGGAAAAGAGACATGGAGTTTGCTTTATGACCTCGTTTGCCAGGAGCTTTGCCAGCCAGATGATCCACCCATCATTGTGCAGGAGCAGAAGACTGTGCTGGCCTCTATTTTGTCCGTGCTGTCTGCTATGTTTGCTTCACAAACAGAGCAGGAGTACACCAGGATGAGGAAAAGCAAGTCATGCTTTTTTCTGGTTTTATTTATTTTTTAAAATTTCTTTTAAGTTAATATTCACAGTTGGCTGTATGTGGGTGTGGAAGGTGGTTCAATTCAGTGACATTGCATACAGTAAGACTCTTCCCTGGTTACACAGAATCACAGCTATCCCAGTCCAGTTACTGGGTGGGCTGTAAATTCTGAGGATTTACAGTACCAGAATCTACAGATTCTGCTCACTCTTCTCCATTGGGTAAATTAGTGAAAATTTCAGAATTTTTTTTTGCTAAAATGTAGTAATACATTATTACATTTTTATTTTATACATAATATATACAAATATTTTTATGTAGTATTTTTTTTTAAGTAGGTGGAAATTCTGCACTTACTTAAATCCCTCTATAATTTCTCACTTTTCAATCCATGGACAAGTCTTTAGAATTAAAAGCCTGTCTTGAAAATGTGAGTCAGGGTTACCTGCAGCAGAAAGATGCTGCACAGTTTGGTTTGTCAGATAGGATTAGCTGGATACAAATTTACATACTGCCCTCACTGGATGCTACTAAAGACAGTTTCCTTCTCATGTTCCTTACACTGGCATATAGTTTTTATAGATACAGGTCAGCTTGCAGGAAAAATTTGGGTTTTCTACTACATTTCCGCTTGCTTCTTTAAAACTGTCTTTGAGTAACAGAACACAACACTGTCAGAATATACATCCTTACAGATTTTGTGTAAAAATCTGATGGTGTGTTTCAAAATTCTAATGCCTTGAAAGGATGGACAAGAATTTTCAGTGTTAAAGTTGACTGTTCTTGTTACTTTGTGTTAAGATATGCCACTGATTGGGAGCTTGATTCGTATTTTACAATACATGGAGGGCTGTGGGAAGAGAGCTGTTGAGAACTCCAAGGAATCTGAGGAAGAGGAGACTGGAAGGACTGATGTAAATGAGGAAGATTTCCATTTAAAAATTTTGAAGGATATTTGCTGTGAATTGCTTTCCAATATGCTTCAAGAACTAACCAAGGTAAGAATAAACAAAATTATAGTAGGAATTTCTGTAGGGTAGGTAAGAAAAAAGTATTTAATATTAATGTGGACATTTTTATGTGCAAGTGCAGTTGCTTACTGGGAATTCATTAGTGAATCAATCAGAAGAAGCAACATGTGTGGGAGATGGGAGGGATACAGGTTTTCTGAGGGGTGTGCCAAGATTCTGTATGATAAATTCTGTAGATATACATTGCCTTTTCTTTTGAGTGAAAGTCAGTTTATTTAAGAAGAGGAAATACTGTCAATATATAATCTCACCTTCTCAGCTGGACCGCTTTAATTATGGAAGCATTCGGGTTAAGAGACTTGTGATGTGTGAGTTTTCACACCTCTTGGCATCAGCTGTCTGGCTTTCTCTGAGAGCTGTGAATTCTGGTTGTTTTACCCACTGATAAGAACAAAGCACATTCTGTAGGTGCTGTGCACAGTTTTGAGTTTGTTCTTTCAACAGCTGTTGATGACATGCTGGTTGTATTTCTGATTTTCCAGGAGAATACCATGGAAGGACTGCACCAGGGACACCTGAATGAACAGACATGTTCCTGTGCTTTTCAGAACCTCTTACCTCTGTATTCTGCTTCGGTGAGTATGTGACAAGGTCTGTGACACAGCTGAGAAAGTGCTCCTTGGGTGGCAGGGCCTTTCCAAATCTGATACACAAACAGGACAGAATTGCTCAGGCATAGGTAGAACACCATCCAGTGCCAGACAGTCTTACCCCCTCTGTCTGTTCTGCCTCACTTGAGCCAGAGTTTTGCTGAGATCATCAGCTGATGCCAGGGCCAAACTGTGCTGATGTGAATGGATGTCTGAGAATTTATCCTAGCTGAAAAGCTGTCCTGTATATTTTTATAAAATAATTCTAAGTATTTTTCATAGAAGCTTTTGTCTGGGTGAGAAAAAATTTCTGTGTTTCTTTTAAACAAAAAAATAAGTGTTTGAAGAAAGTGGTACCATTTCAAAATTTAGACCAACTGGAATTGTGATGTTTAGGAGGAAGGTAGCCACTGTAGAGCATTTTCCATTATTCATTTCAGTGGCTCCTGCTGGCTGCTCTTATTTGGAAGGTACAGAAGTAGAAAGAATTCCTGTGCCAGTATAAGAATTCTGTGTTCCATGCAAGTTGTTTTTTTTTTTTTTTTAATTTTTTTTTTTTATTATTTTTTTTTCTCCTTATGTGTGTTTCTTATTTCCAGGTGGAGAGTTTCCTTGAAGTCCTGCGGGAGGCTGATCAGACACTTGCTAACAATCTAGAAAAACGTTTCCCAAGCCTGAAGGTTCACACCTAAGAATGTACATGAAATGTTTTCCTTCTTTGGAATGAAGATTTTTGACTGTTTCATTACAGCATTTCAGAAATCAAGTTTTCAGTAAATGCAGGAGAATGAGTCAACCTCTTTACCAGCAGGTGGCTTTTAAGCAATGCTCTGGATAGCCCTAATTAACCTAGGGTTAACCTGGTCTGCAAGGGGAAAGAAATGACTGTGAATCACTTCTGCATCTTCCATCCTGTTTGCTCTGGTTATGAGAGACTGTTGATTTCTACTTGCTCTCCTGCAGAGTAGTTTTCTTTGAATAACACTCAATTCTTTGCTTTTCAACTGAAGTTGAAACAGCAAAATGAATGAAATGCACTGAGTAATTCTTTAACATGGTGCTGGTTTCTTTTGAGTTTTTGGCAAAAGGAGGTTTGCTCAATAGAAATCCCCCTCAAGCATCTGATAAAAACAGTTAAATTATTTAGTTGTTTGGGGATTTTTTTAGATCATATCAATACCTTGAGCAGGTATTGTAACAAAAGCATTTCATTCTGCTCCTTTCAAATCTTCACACTTCTTCTACTTAAGCCTCTTCTTCACTGCAGCTCTGAGCTGTGGTGTCTCAGTCCTGTGCAGTTAAAGGACTTGAGAATATTGTTACCAATGGTCTGTGCTGCAGCTTCCAGCCATTGCAGGTAGCTACCCACAGGTAAGAGTTGCAGGGCAGCTTTGGATTCAATCCCTGCTATACTTGCAGACCTTTGGGGTTTTTTTCAGCAGTCTGCTTCAGTGTAGGAGTGTAACATGTCAGTTCTTTCCTTCTTGATTTCTTGTATGAATTATCTCAGAATGGCATCAGAAATGCCATGTTTTCCATGGGGGAGGTTAGGGTGTTAGGTCACTTGCAGGAAATTCAGTGTACAATCTCCTAAAACTTTATGATATTTTAACTGCATTGCATTTTTAGATCCCATGTCTGCATGCAATGGACCTGACATGTTCTGAGTCTGAAGAGACAGCACAACAGCACATCAGCTTCACTGTTTCTGTAAATGAGAAAACAATTGGCCTTTATTAGGTTTAAGATGTAAAAGCAAATGGGAACCAGAGCATAGAGAATAATAGCTGAATGTCACATTCCCTGGCTCTCCAGGTGTTACAGACTTTAGGATTAGGCTGGGCCATGTTGTGTTACCAGAGTTACCAGGACATGTGGTAAAATACATACATGTGTATATGTATATATAACCTTTCCATCCCAACCTCCAGTTTTCAAAACCAGTGCAATTCAATCATCCCCCTGCCAGCAGCATCTTAGTTGTCAGCAGGGAATTTGGAATTGCAAATACCTGACTTGTGTTGCCAAAAAGAATTGCCATGGTTTATATCAATTTTTGTATGCTATGTTTGTTGGAGAAAACTGGTGACTGTGAATCAGAGGACACCATTTTTCATACTACTTTGACAGTTTTGGGATATTTTCTTAAACCTACAGATTTGTAATAAAGCTTCTTTTTTTAAAAAAAAAAACTGTATGTTTTCCTTCATTCTAGTGTCAAATTTGTTTTCTGAGCCACTGGAAATGTCTGTTACTCTTAAGTGTGTAAGAGGAAAATGGAACCTCTTCATAATATCTGTGATGTAAAATACGTTTTCCTTCATTGAATATTTATTTAAACTCTTGGGTTTTTTTTCATAGTCATTTTTATGGTCTGGAAGTTAACGTGTGTCTCATCCCATAAACATTTTTTGAGCTTAGTTTGTCCCCAGCTGTATCATAAGTGTCTTCCACCACAGTGAAGAATTATTTCTGGTGTGCATCTCCTGAAATCTGTGTTAGTTGAAATTCTGCAGTAGCCACGTAATGTAATGTAGGAAAAAAAAACCCCCAAAAACTGAGACAAGATCTGTTGTTTTATTTTGTTCCTTCCCCTTTTCAATACACCAGTATCCAGTGTTGGCTGATGAACTGTTGTTACTGGTATCTGGTGCCTGTCACGCGACAGAAAAAATGACTGAAGTCATGTGGGAACCCAGGTGAGTCCCATCCTCCTGCTCATGTGCAACAGAAGGAGCTGCAGGCACGGTCAGTCAGCCTTGCTTCATCAGAATGGTGATTCAGCTGTGCTGGGAATTTTTATCCTTGATGACCACGGTGAATTGGAGATTGGGATTCCCTCTTTGCCCACCCCTTGTGCTCTGGGAGTGAGGCTGGTGCCAGGGTGAATACCTGTGCCGTGTTTGTGGGGTTCAGAGAGGGAAGAAATCATTTGTGGGAGTAGGTGGGTGATGTGTTTGGAACTGGTGCACGTGTGTTTCATCATCCTGCCAGCAGGGACCTCCCTTGGCCTGTGCTTCATGAGCAGCACGTGTTTGGGGTTTTGGTGGGTTGGGGTTTTTCTGGGGAGAGGCAGGGAGGGTTTGGGAGGTATTTGAGTTTGGTATTTTTTTTAATTCCCTCTCCTAGACCTGTTTTGACACCCACTGGCAAGCCTGAGCTCTCGAGGCCAGTTGATTCAGAATGGTTGTCTGTCTGTCTACAAGCAGGTGAGCAGATTTCTTCCAGACCGAAGGTCTGATTAACTCCAGAACATCTTCCTTTGGGGAGAAATGAGAAGTACTTGTCGCTGCTCTGTGCAGAGCTCTGAACAAAAGTGGATATCTGAAGCACAGAACTAAAGCAGCAGGAACTCAATCCTGCTTGGACAGAGCTGGATGTGACTTGTGGCTTAAGAGCAGTCAGAAAATTGAGGCAGAAAGCAGACTGGAAGGTCTTATTTTAAATTAGTGTTAATAGATCCATATAATAATTTCATTCAAAGAGAGGATTCTGACATTCTATTGACTCAACTTTTATGCACATGTGGCATCTTTATCCCACATTGTAACATTTTCCTGGAGGGACAAAGCACCACAAAACCAAAGAAATTTGGGATGTGGGAAAAAAACCAGTGGCATTGGAATGCTTTATCTGCTCCTTTGGCAGTGCAAAGAGGTGGTTGCTGATATCCTAATGCTTGCCCAATATTCATGATGCAAATTTGTTCTTTCTGGTAGGCTAAACCATGAAACCTAAGAAGCTCTTTTCTGTGCTTCTCCATATCCATGTCATTCTGCTTACCTAATTTTCTGTCACTGCTGTTTTAGTTCATATTTTGTCTAAGTGCTGTGTTGAGCCCTTTGTAAGATGAAGCTGCACTGTTATAAACACCTGTCACTGAAACTAAGCTGCATCCAAAAGAAATCATAAGATAAAAATCTTTATTTCTAAGTGAAGTATCTTCATCGTTTATTATATTGGCATTAAAAGGTACAGAGGTGTTACTGTGGTTTTGTTTGCCTGGAAAATCTGTGTTCTTTCTCACTACCCTTATTTTGGCTGCTGCAGGGAGTTACAAAACCAGCAGTCTTTCTTTTATTTTTCACAAAAAAATTTGCAATTTTTTTTTTCTAGGGCAGAATCTTTTGGTCACAGCAGCTCCCTAAGATATCCTTTTATCTCCCCCTCAAAATTAAATGTCCTTTTTCAGTGCTCGCCATTTACTTTTCATGTTGGCGATGATGATGAAATTCACGTGCTCTGCCAAAGTCAGTGAGAGAGGAAGAACCTGCTACACCTGGGGCAAGGACCAGTCTGCTGTGTTGTTATACAACTTCCCAAAAGCCCTTCATGTGAAGGCAAGCCCAGGCAGCCACGTGCCTCAGCCTGCAGAGAGCGAAGCCCCTCAGTCAGAGCCGACGGGGCGTGAGCTGAGCGAACCTGACATCACCAGCCTGGCTAAACAAACCAGGTTATTGCCAGCAGCTATCCACTGAGCCTTTGCAGTGGGAAATACTGCTCCTACACCTCCTTTTGTTTCCCTTCCTGATTCACTTTTGCAAAAAGAAACCAGGTTGTACAATGCAAGGAGCTGGCATCTAAGGGGGGTAAGAGAATGGGTTTGCTTCTGAGTTGTTACTGTGGAGAAAATGAATGAACGCAGGGAAAGCCCAGTGGGGCTCCATTTCTCTTTCTCCCAGGTCATTGCATGTGAGCTGCAGGTCTTAGTGATGGCTCAGTAAAGTCTGAGAGTGAATTTCATACAAAGGCTACTGTGAAAGGGCTCGCAAAGAAAAAGTAACAGTGGGAGGAGGCTGTGAAGAGAAGACAGTAGCAGTAGAGGAAGAAAAAAGATTAAGAGATACTGCAGAAAGAAGGCAAATAGGGAAAAGCCTGGAGGGATCCAGACAAAGAGGATAAATAATAAGTGTGATGTCAAAGGAGAAAAGTATTACATATCAGTAATTATGTTAGCATTCTAGATATGTCCAGGTGGAATAGCTGGTGTGCAGTCACCTATCAAAAGTCTAACACCGATTACATTTTCTGTTTTCAAAGCTGAATTTCCTTTGCAGTTTCTCCTGATCTTATGGAAATGAGACAAGCTTAAGGTGAACATGAGATCTTAAAAACCACAGCAGGTGGGCTAGTGAGTATTGCTGGATTTTTTAAAATTTTCTTTTTAAAATTCACCCCCTCTCCCCCCTTGTTTTTTGCTGGCTGTGTGAGGCCCCAGGGAGCCCAATCGTGATGGAGGTGAGGCAGTCAGGTCTTGCAAGCCCTTGCCTGGAGTAGGTCTTGAGCACGACAGAGGCAATTTGTGAAAGCAGCATCCTGCAGGGTTGGTGCTTGTGTTGCCCACCGGTCTGCAGCAGCCTGCAGCCAGCTCCTGGCACAGGCACAGTGACTGCCTGCGTCTTTGTGCCCATGGTAACTTAAGTCCCATGTTGACACTTCCCCAATTTATGTCCCTTCATCCAGTTTCCAAGGAAATCTTAGAAAAGCAGATGCACCTTGGTATTCTGTGTTGCAATAGTGGCAGTTATTTATTCTGTGCTTCAGGTTATGCAAACTTCATTTTAATTTTGCAGTGAGTTTGTATCAATATTATTTTTGTTGTCATCTATATAATTTTTGGTGACAGCTCTGTTTAAAGAAGATGTAACTTTAACAAGCCATCTGTTAACCTTACATAGAAAGGAAATGCTTTTGTTAATTATTCCAGTGAAATCAGAAAAATAATTTCCTGGCCCCCAGTAGCAGACCAGTCTCCCTATCTTCTGTCAATAGGAGGATATTGAAACATGCAGGAAATACGTGCACACTTTTATCCTGCCCTGCAATACAGCCACAGTGCTGCATCATAATTAGCCAGTGATGTCAGAAGGTTTCATTTTCCATTAAAACTTCTTTGTAGTGCACAAACTCTTTTATTGAACATCAGAGAGTTTCCCCATTAGTCAGGTGGGAAGGCTGGACACAGGAACCATGGGAAGACATTTTGAGTTTTTGCCAGTCTAATTAGTAAAGATTTTGATTTAATAAGTTAAGAAAGTAGAAAAGAGGGACAAACACTTCAGATTATGTGGGAATGAAAAAACCTGCAAAATGACTCAATTTTGTCATTTGGGATGAAGCCATAACAATGGCTGAATGGAAGGAAGAGCAGTGACAGAAAAGACTGGAATAGTAGGAAAGAGAAAAATTAATGGAGAAAACATGGAAGACCAAGGGAGGAGTCTGGTTTTGTGAGGTTAGTAGATAGAAAACATTAATGAGTAGACAAAAAGAAACACAGGAAATTGCCTATGAGCTGACAAATGGTGTAGGTCCATGGAAAGTCTCTGTGAGACGTAAGTGTAGTGTGAGCTGCTCTCGTGGGAAAGTCCGAAGCCCAAATGAAGGGAAGATTTGTCCTTTTCCCTTTTCTCTTAGTGGAGAGGTTCTCACAACTCTTAAAAGAAGATAGGAGATAGATGCAAAATACACTGGCATTGAGTTGCTCTAGAGAGGGGTTGGAGTTGTCCAGGCCAATTCCTGCACAGTCCATGTGCTTATGGACACAGGCAAGAGCAGCCAGGGGTAACCCTGAGAGGCAAACTTCTCACAGCTTTTCTGCTTCTCCAGCCTTTCTGGACACCAGAGCAGGTGGGTGAAGATAGCATCCAGCAGTGAGTCCGTGCTTTTGAGCCCACCCTGCTCGCTTCCCTCTTGTCCAGCACTCAGTGATGAACATAAAGATCAGAACCAGATCTTTTATTGCAGCATTATCAGTAACTTTAGCCAACAGATCTGGAGTCAACCCCCATGATGGAAGTATTGAAAATAACACAGTGCTACTCCACAGCTGTCAGCTTTTGCATTAGATGAGCTCTTAATGCTGCAGTGTCACCTGGGAGGCAGACTTATTTCTTGTGCGCAGTGTGAAGGTTGAGGGTGCTTTCTTGGAAGACACTGACACTGCTGAATGTGACACAGCATGATGTGATTGCCCACACAGGGTAGAGGAAATGCTGTCATGATTTAATTAATCAGTTCTGATCTGCTGATCCCTGAGTTTACTTAGACTTGAAAGAAGTAAATATAATTAAATTAAACAAAGGTCTTTCCTTCCCGCACATGCTCTGGGCCCTTTTGCGTCTTCTGTGAGATAATAAAAAGCTTATGAATAACAGGCACAGTGGTCTTTGTTGTT